AGGCTCGGATCGAGACTTGGGCACGAGGTCAGTTTTCTCCATCGAGCGGGAGCCAGAGACAAAGAAGGGACTCGCTCGTGCGATCCTGGCAGCAAGAGGGGACGGAAGCGGGACTTCATGTGGTATCTCCCTCTCTCGCTCGATCGGCAGATGCTTGCGCGAAGGATCGGGCTCCTTTCAGAGGGGGATCGAGCGGGCTGCTTCGCTCCTTCGTCGACTTTCCCTTTCTGTCGGATCGGGTACGACGCTTCTTCGGCTCCTTAGGCTCTTATGTGGTTGTTCGACTGGGCTCCTTCGTCTTGGATCGGAAGTTCTGATCGAGTCGCTCGTCCCATCCGGCGTTTCTGGTTGGTAGCGTCAGCAAGGCTCCGCCTCTCCTCTTCTCCTTCTTTTCTTCCTTCGTTCCTGGTTTTGTCGTTCGGCTTCTTCCGCGAGTCTTCTTGTGTCTGGTGGCGTCAGACAAAAGTCCTTTCTTCGCCTCTTACTTTCGACACGAGGAACTGAAAGGAACGTTCTTCAGCGGCAATGAAGGCAGCCCTATTTTCTTCGTTGATCCGGCAATAGGAGCGGCAATGAAGACCGGCTTCCTTTTACAAAGAATTGGCAACAAATCGTGACTCTGATACCATGTTAAAACCAGGAATTTGAGAGGGAAAAACTTGTTTTTATTCACTACAATCTTCCCTATTTATAGATCTATACAAGATATCCTAATGAGGAAATAATAAAATACATAAGATTTCTAATAAAATCTTTCTTAAATTCGCTCCTTCATTATGGCGTGATCTATGAGAGCATCCCACAGATTGATCTTTGTGTCCGTCGGATCCTTTGTACTGGGAACGACTTGATTTCAACATGTACTAGGAAAGTCTTCATCTCCTTTAGAAGTTTTTCATGAAGTATGATGAAGATTTTATGAGAACTGATTGTTTTTGCATGGAGATTTTTAGTGAGAAGGCCTTCCACGATACCAGTTGCTCAAGTTTGTTCCTCATCTGCTACAACTGGATCCACTTCTCTTTCTTATGGTTAATAAGATAATATTGGGCGTTCGGTAATCGCTTAAATTGTGTCCAATTCATTTAAAATATGTTGCAATTTAAGAATTTTGGTATTCCATCACACCAGTGCATAGGATGATTTTTTAAATCGACTAATAATTTTTTTTTTTGCACACAATTAATTCTAGAAGAAAAATAGTTTTCAAAGCCTTGAAAAATATTGTTTACCTCATCAACATATTCTATGCTATCAAAGATTGACAACTCTTGTCCGAGATCTACCTTTACATGAGGTAGGTGTCTACCTATCATGATACCAGTTGTTTAGGTTTCTTTCTCATTTGTTGGAACCGGATCCTCTTCTCCTCCTTGTGGTTGATAAGATAAAATTGGGCATTGGATAATCACTTAAATTGCGCTCAATTCATTTGAAATATGTTGCAATTTAAGAATTTTTGTTTATAACCATACAAGTGCATGTGATGATATTTTCATCCATGAATGAATTTTTTGGACGGAAGTAGTTCTTGAAGAAAAAATAGGTTTAAAGCCTTCTAATAAGTTGTCTAAATCATTAGCATCTAGTATGCTAGCAAAGATTGGCAACTAAGGTCCGATGTTCACTTTGAAATGATGTAGGTGTCTAACTAGTAGTTGGCCTGCCTGCCTTATTTGTTGGTTATTCTTCCCATGCTTCATCAACATCTTAGGAATTTTGGGGCCCTTTTCACTACTTGTGGATGAACCTTCTCCTTGTTTTTGGTATACTAGTATCTACAATTGAACTATTTTCTCCATCGTGTTTTCAAAATCCCTTTCAATTTTGGCAAATCTACCATTTTTCTTATTATTATATTCCTATTTTCTTGCGTTTTAATTAGTTCTTCTACCTTTTAAGCCTTACGATTATTAGCTATTGTTCAAATTTACAGTATTGGGTCACTCACTTTTAGTTTTAGGCCAAGAACCTTACTCTAATACGTAAATGATCAAAAATCCTTTGTGGATTTGGAGGTAATCTTTGGGTATTTGAATTGTAAGAGTGTCACCTACTTACATTTTATGGCTGAGGCAGGCCCAAAATAAGATCACGCAATGCTTCTGAATAACATTAGGATTACTTACTAAGTGGGTCTATAATTGGAAAATGGTCCATTATCTATTTACATAATAGTAAGGCACAACGAGAGAAACTTTTTCATATTTAAAGCCCATAACAGAAGATAACATCATTTCAAAATGAAGCTCCCTCAATTTTTTGATATTTTTTATTCTATATGGAGAAAAATATTTCTTTTATTTTAAATCTGAAGTATATATATATATATATATATATATATATATAGGCGAGTGTCTTGTAATATGATGGATTGGAATAAGATTTGAGTTTAGTTTAGTTTGTTTGTTTTCCTGTATCCTAAGAGTGATTCTTAGGTGGTGGATCCTTCCTCCAA